GATGCCATATTCCTAGACTCTTCCAAAGCTTTTGATCGCGTACCACACAACTTATTACTTAGCAAAATTAATTCCCTTGGCATTGCACAGAATATTGTCTCCTGGGTTAAACACTTCCTCGCCAACCGTAAACAATTCACCTCTGCTAATAATCATAACTCCTCTAAAACTCACGTATCATCAGGCGTCCCTCAGGGTGCGGGCTTATCACCTCTTCTATTTTTAATATTCATAAACGACCTGCCAACAAACATTCAAACAAAACTTCGACTATTTGCGGATGACTGTGTCATATACTCCCCCATTCACAACTTTGAAAACAGTACTAAACTACAGCAAGACCTCGACAAAGTTGCGCTATGGTGCCAAGACTCATCAATGCCGTTAAATCTAACCAAATGCAAATCGATGTCATTTTCCCGTAAACGCACCCCTGTTCATTATACATACTTTATCAATTCGCTTCCTCTCGATTCGGCTTCGTCATACAAGTATCTCGGAGTGCACATGTACCCATCTCTTTCATTTGCACCGCACGTACAGTCCATCTGCTCAGACGCTCTGCGTACGCTTGGTTTTCTGCGCCGTAACCTCAAATCAGCATCTCCTGACGTTAAAAAACTAGCATACTTAACATACGTACGGCCAAAGCTCGAATACGCATCGTCCATTTGGAATCCATCCCAGGCATACCTCGTTAGCGAACTAGAAGCAGTTCAAAACCGCGCTGCCCGCTTTATAACCTCACAGTACTCCAGAGAAATCAGCGTCACCGCCCTAAAACAATCAATTGAACTGCCATCACTCGCGTCGCGCCGCCTCATCTCGCGCCTATGTCTCCTCCACAGTTTCTTTTTCCGACCCCAATCAAGACACGAACTTTTACAGCCCCCAAACAGAACTTCTTCCCGCATTAACCATTCAAACCCCATTGCACGAATCAACGGCCGTACATCCGCAATGAACGACTCCTTTTTCCCCCAAGCAATAACACTTTGGAATCACCTTCCCGACACCATTGTTGCCACACCTGACCGCACATCATTCCGCGCAAAATTGGAATCCCACTTTGATTCCACCCATTAACCCGTGGCTGTAAATATATTCTACCAACGTACTGTATGTATAATTTGCTTGTGCCTAGTTGTTTGTACTCTAATTTCCAGCCAAAGCGTTTCTTTTGTGTGTTATTTGATTCATTTTTGTTGTCATTTTTGACCAAACTACTATACTAGAACTGTACTGTTTATAATAATTTGTTCAACTTGAATTATACACACTCACAGCGTATTTTTGCCCCCCCCCCCCCTTATGTAATGCCCTCGGGCCTTTAAGGATGCAATAAATGAAAAAATAGCCGTTCAGCCCCTGGTCCAGACGGCATTACAAACAGGTTGCTGCGCAATCTCGACGGAAAGCCAATCACTAATTTAACCGAGGAGGTCTATATCCTCTGGGCAGAAGGTCACGTACCTGAGGCCTGCATGGTGTACCGCCTCGGTAATACTCATTCCCAAGCCGGGCAAGGTACTCGCCATGGAGAACCTCCGTCCATTTCCACCACATCTTGCGTGGGGAAGGTGATGGAGCATGCGGTACACAACAGAGTATCTCGGTATATTGAGGATAAAGAGCTCTTTCCGTACAACATGGTAGGTTTCCGGCCGGGTCCCTCTACCCAGAATATGATGCTGCTGATTAAGAGGCAAACTATTGATCGACAGACCCTAGATGTTTGAGGAATATTGGCCCTTGATCTCGCCAAGGCCTTTGATACGATTTCACATCAGTTTATACTGGAGTAGATAGAGCGCATGGGATTAGGTCCCAAGTTCCACGCCTATGTTTGCGCCTTCCTCAGGGACCACAAAGCCACCATAAAGATTGACGAATTAAAAATAGAGGCCTTCACCCTGGGTGCGAGGGGCACGCCGCACGGAGTGGTAATTTCACCCCCTTTGTTCAACATAGCCATGAAAGGCCTCTCGGAGCGCCTCTCCACGGTAGCCAATACCAACCATGCTTTATATGCTGACGATATTACAGTCTGATGCATGGGTGGTTTAGATGCTGAAGTGGAGCAGGCGCTCCAATCTACTTTGCCAATCACAGAACGTTTTCTGCAGGTTACAGGGCTCCAGCTATCCGCCTCTAAATCGGAGTTGCTTCTATACAGACCGGTTTGACCCGGAAGAAGGAACGAGTCACCACTTGATCAGGTGCAGATTACTATAACCACTCGGAATGGGGAGTCGATTCCAAGAGTCAATTGCATTCGGGTGCTAGGCTTCCTTCTTGAATCTAACGGAAGAAATTTGCAGGTTTCGGCTTGCATCACATCCAAAACGGAGAACATGCTCAGACTAATATTGAGGGTTCCAAGCCGCAGGGGAGGGCTGAGGGAGAGCAATCTCCTTCGGCTCTTTCATTCATTCCTTATGAGCTACATTAATGATGTGGAATCCTTGCTAATTGGTCTAAGCGCGAGGAGGATAAACTGGACACTTTATTGCGTAAAAGAATCAAAAGGGTACTAGGCCTACCTATGAGGACCAGCATGGACCGGCTCATGAGTCTGGGCATGCACAACATCCTCACGGAGTTGACGAAGGCACAAACACTTGCTCAGGTCGCGCGATTCTACTCCACGAAAGCTGGGCAGCGTATCCTACAGTCGCTGGGATATCATAATACGGCAGGGGAAGAACAGAAGATCTTATCACAAAAATGAAGGGCACGTACGAGGTGGCACCCTTCCCGCGTAACTTTCATCCACAGTACAATCAATGTTGGCCGGCGAAAGGCATGGGCCAAGTCTCTCCTTGATTTCGTGGCTAAATCCACGGGCAGTGTAGCTTTCGTCGTTGCGGCGCAGTACGGCCGCTCCCATCGTTTTGCAGCTGTGGTCGTTGATGATCGCGGTCGTGTACTCAACTCAGCTTCCGTGAGGAAAGCGTCTGCCTCCGTAGCAGAGCAGGTAGCGATAGCCTTGGCGATGACGGACCCTTCGCGTCCAGAGATACTTACTGACTCCAGGGCTGCCGCTCGGGCTTTTGCCTTGGGGTATTCTCTAGGAAGGCTGCCACTATTCTAAATTCCAGGGGTGTAGTAGGCCACCACACAATCACCTGGTTTCCGGCCCACATGGGCTCAGAGGTGCATCCGACTCTTCCCAACGCCAACAAACTTGGCCATAACCGTGTGCGAGAAATCACGTGCCGCGGCGGTCCGGGCGAATACGGAGGTGGGTTCGCGGATAACTTTAAAGGTCCACTTGGCACCAATAACGAAGTGACGTTCCATTATAAGTTGTCTAGGCGGAGGTAACCGCTTCCGCATGCCAAGCTCACTCGGCCACAGTCGTCGGTTCTTCGGATGCTACAGGCAGGTTCATTCCCATCTCGTAGCACATTCAGCCACTTTGCTGATGGCATAACTCCAGGATGCCCTAGCAGTGCGGCACATAACTGCACACTCGCTCACATGCTCTGGGCAGTGCCCGGCGTTATATGGCGCGAAGTTCAGCACAGAAGAAGACTGGTAGAGGGCTCTTAAAAGCCCCGAACTCTCAGTCTAATACTCGGCAGTCCAGGAGGCCTGCGAAAGGGCGGAGAGCCATGGTCTTCCAGTCCTGGCGAGACGCGGCCAGCGACTGCGGCGGACACCTCTTAGGGGGGGGGGGGGTGACCAGTTTTCCAGGACCAAATAAAGTTCATTTCACTTTACCTGCCTGTCGGCTTGCGTACTGCTTCGTATCGCCTCCGAGGCACTCGTGCATCTTTCTCCGCGGGTACTAACACCTTCCGTCATTTTCGAAGATAACTGCCAGATGGCGCTTGTGCCTAACGTGCCACGATACCCTCGTTCACCTTCTTTGCACGGATCGAGACTCTCTAACGGAGCGCTTCCAGAATACAATTCACCGATTTTTTCGCGCAGTATTTATATGGGGCTCGGAACGGGAATGGTGCAGTCGGACCGACTTGTTCAGGTGCGTGAAGGACGGGGATCTAGGTTTGGCGCAGATATTTGTGAGACAATCGGTAAATAGATCTTTGTTTTTCCCTGTCGGGAGTGATCCGTTTTTGCGTACGGTATGCCAACTCAGATTACGGAGTGCCTTACCAGAACTTCTTGTCACTACTGATAGCCGGCCCGTGACGTTGTGTTAAACTCAAGGAAGTGGTAGACTGTGCGCGTTTTTCATCTGTTTGTTTTTCGTTGGAGTATTTAGAAAGCGTCAGAAGAAAAAAATTGTACAGAGTTGTACGTGGTATTATTTTTCGAGTACCATTGTACAGGGCCATATACCGTGGAAGACCGGGAAGTAATGTTCTGAAGCGGGTGAAAAACACGCAGGGACCTGAAGGGGTGAAGCCATTTTTCTATACGTTACACACAGGCACACTATCGGTAAAGACATTCACCGAGGAACGAGGAACAGGGCTTTTTTACACCGTGAGGGTCACACTGCTTGACATGTAACAAACCACAAACAATAGATCATGTATTTTTGCATTGTTAGGAAGAGGCCCATTTTCGAGATATAATGCAGAGGACAATGAAGAAAGATTTTTGACTGAATTCACATGGGATAAGGTATCTCACAGTAAGAAATGATGATGGGGTACTATTTGGTGTAGTGATGTTGACTGGTCTCCACTATATGGCATGCACGAATGGCCGGATATCACTTCGACCCAGATACAAAGCCAGAAGAGATTTATTTCAGGCAAAGCATGTCGGCAATAAATGAGTGTAATAAAAATTGGAAGCGCACGTGCAGGGCGAATATTCAGACTGCCTGGATGTCTACACATTTTTCTGAAAAACATGTCTAGGATGCTTCTTCACTCCCCCCTTGCTTTAAGCGGAACTGTTGTTCAGACAAAAGAAAAAATCTCGTGGGAAAAGAGCTATGTAAATGAAAGAAAAACAATTGTGATGAAACCACTGCCCAAGCCTGTGGCCTTTTAATCTGACTTTTGGTTTCTGTATGATAGGGGCTGGCGCGTACGCCAACCCCCACTACGAAAAATTACATGCCCCACCTACCCCCCTTTGGAGTTGTGGTGTGTGTCAGCCCACCGCAGTGCAATGGCAAGGCCTCGACACGGAACCCCAGCCATGTTGACCACCGGGAATCTGACACCAGATAAGTATGCATTCCAGTGAATCATGAATCTTGATCAAGCTAAGTGTGCTACCATGTGGCTCAAGCCTATTGATCCGACTTTAAAGAACGCAAACACATCGCCGATATGAAAATCCCCCCGAAACAACACATTTGATATCCCAGATCCTCGCACACAGTACTGTTAATCAAGTTACTAATTGCGGAGTTGTGTAGCAGTAGAAGATCTAAACTTTATGTGCGGCCTCGGTTTGCCGTAAGGCGAATGACTCCGCAAAGCAGGGAGCGTAGAACAGCGCGAAAACAACTGATGGATTGGATTAGATTAGATAAACTTTTATTTGGTCCTCCAAAACACAGATCACTGTGTTGCAGGCAGCTCCCATCTGGGGACTGAGATGCCTAGCTCCTCAGCCGCCTCGCGGGCTTGGTGGACCGCCCAGAGCTGATCTGCCAAGGACGCGCTGCGGATTGCCGCCTCCCATCTGGCAGAGGTGATGTTCGATAAATGAGCGAGTTTGGTGCACTGCCAAAGCATATGTTCTAATGAAGCTATTTCCCCACATTGTGGGCAAAGATTACTTGGGTACAGGTCAGGGTACATGATGTGTAACATTTTCAAAGTAGGGTACATCTGCGTTCGCAAAAGCCTTAATGTAAGTGCTTGGGGCAGAGTTAGATTTTTGTGAGGTGGAGGTAAAATCCTTCTAGGCAGGTACAAATGTTTAATCAGCTCGGTATATGTTGTAAGAATTTTCCGGTTATCCCCTTCACCGGTAAAACGCATCCCTAAGGAGGCGCGGTTGGAGAGGTCTCGCGCCGCCTCGTGTGCTGCTTCATTGAGATTGGGCGGGAAATCGTTGATTTGTCCAAGGTGAGCTGGGAACCAACTCAGAAGATGATGCATTATGTTCTTGCCTTGCAGTATTCTCAGCGTTTGTTCAGAGACCGCCCCTTGGCGAACGCCCGTAGTGCTGCCATGGAATCACTGTAGATGACTTCAATGTTATCCATCTTGAGTGCTAAGGCGGTGGCAACTCGTTCCGCAATGATTGGGTCTTTCGTCCTGACCGTCGCTGAGTTGACGACACGGCCAGCCCCATCGAGCACCACTGCCACAAACACTTTCCCATTGGCGTAGGAAGCCGCGTCAACAAATACTATTCCTCGTTCCTCGTTTGAGATTTGACGAAGTATAGCCCTGACTCTCGCTGCTCATCTTCCACAACGGATAGATGGATGTACTTTATTAGGTCCTTCGGAACACGCGTTAGGATGTGGTGAACCGCTCCCAAGTAAAAAAATGGCAGCATATCCACGGAGAGAAGATGGAGAGTGGGGCGAAACATTCGTACGTCCATTCGTTCTTGCTTCCGTCCGTCCATGCGTCCGTCTCTGTGACCGTCCATGCGTCCATCCGCCCGTCCGTCCCTGCGTTCGTCCATGCATCCACCCCTGCGTCGGTTCATGCGTCCGTACATGCATCTGTCTGTGTGTCCGTTCGTCCGTCTACTAAAAACTCCAAGTGCCACCATCTCACATCTTTTCATCGTATTGTTACCACATGTGTAATTTAGGTATGTGCACCTGTGTAGCGGGGAACACGGTAGTAGCAGAAGAAGACGACGTTCGGTTGGTGGCAAGAGCTCGCTGCTTCGCGTTCACTGCGGTATACCATTGAGTCGACCGTTACGTCTGCTTCGAATAAACCCCTCGTAGACGTAACAGAGTGGTGGAGGTGCGGGGTACGACACGCCGACGTACCACGGAGCCACAGCTGTTCGGAGTTCGCCGGAGCCGTCGTCTTGCCGGTCTGCCGCCGACAACAGTCGTCATGGCCCAGAGCGAAGGTCAGAAATCAACCGCCTCGACTTCGCGCCAATCTACAATGGCTGCATCTAGGCATCACTACATGGAACCCCGCCCGTTCGCGGGAATGGCAGGAGAGGATGTGGACGCGTGGCTAACGCACTACAAAAGGGTGAGCCGGTACAACCACTGGAACTCTATCGATCAGCTGGAAAACGTCGCGCTGTTTCTCACGGACACTGCACTGATGTGGTATGAAAACCACAAAGAGTCCTTGACAACGTGGGCTCTTTTTGCTCAAGAACTCAAGAAGGGTTTTGGTGACTCCGACTCAAAAAAGAAAAGCGCGGAGCGGACTCTTGCTGGACGGGCCCAGACTCCTGGAGAAACCTGCACTGCTTATATAGAGGACGTCCTTAAGCTTTGCAAGATTATAAACCCACAGATGTCTGAAGAAGACAGGGTCGGACACCTATTGAAAGGCATAGCGGAAGACGTTTACAATTTTCTAATAGGCAGGGATGACCTCACCTCTGCCTCCGACGTCCAACATCACTGCCGCACGTTTGAAAAATTGAAGACTCGTCGCATCGCCACGAAATTTGGTAGGCTGGCAAATGTGACAACGGTTGCCAGCGTCGACGCTCCTTTGCCACCATTCGCGGCTGACCAGCGATATGGCCAACGCCTTCGGCACGGCCCCGCCACACAGAGGTGGGCAGCCCCCGCTCAGCAAGCTCGTCACCGACCCTTCACAGCTGAGCGGTCTCAGCATTGGTTCAGCGAGCGTCCTCTACCAGTCTGCTACAACTGTGGCTTCGAAGGACACATTGCCAGGTATTGCAACTACCGTCAGCCGCCAAGGTACGACCGATCACCGAGATTTAACCGTTCTGGCGTTCCCGAGCACCGACATTCCCGGGAAGTGCGTCTTACGAGATCCCAGGACCGCTACAAAACCAATTTCCGGCCTCTGACCGCAGTGTGACACCACCGCCTGCCCATCGCGCCAACCGATCACCGTCTCCTCGGCGCCGCCACTCCTCGCCTCCTACGGAAAACTAGCCGGCGTGGCCGTTGGAGGTGAGGTCGCCGGACAGTCTTCGATTTCAACAGATATACCTTCGTTAGCTTCCATGTTTAGAAATAAGGTTCGAGTGCGTATCGATGGTGTACCGACGATGGCGTTGGTGGACACAGGTGCAAGCGTGTCAGTGATGAGTTTAGTTTTCACTCGCCTTCTTGGACGAAAGGTTATGTTTCGTTGGGACCGTCCTGATACGTTTCGTGGAGTGAGCGGAGAGGTGTTACAACCTGTTGGTGTCTGCACTGTGACTGTTAGTTTGGCATGCCAGAACTTTGTCGCAGAGTTTGCTGTTCTCCCTCCTACTACGCATGACGTCATTCTGGGACTCGATTTCTTGAAGCGATGTGGTGCTACTGTTGATTGCCGCACAGGACAAATTACAGTAGATTCTGATATCCCAGTTTCGTTTATGGAAAACTCGCCCTCTCAAGAAAGTGCTCTTTGCGTGTCTGTGGACAAAACTGTGCCGCCGTTGTCTGCAAAATGTGTTCCTGTTGCCTGTTCACCTTCAAGCGAGAAAACATTTGACGCAACTGTGGAGCCCGTGCATCTCAATTGCATAAAGAAGACAGTTTTAATACCCCACTGTACATTATCGGTTGCGCAAGGGCATACTGGTCTATGGGTGATTAACTGCTCTAATGAACCTACAGTGCTGCCGAAGGGTCTGAAACTTGCAGAGATTCGTGAACACCAAGTATTCTCGCTTGCCACCCTCACAGAAAGCAATGATTCCCCGGATAAGACCCGTTGCAATGATCTGCACGCCAGGGACACCACCATGATGGCTATGATTGATAAGTCATTCAGCACCAAGGAACGCAATGAACTGGCGAGTATTCTGCGCAAACATGCCGGTATTTTTGATTTCGCCCAGCATGATTCACCGTCATTCCCTGCTTCTCGTATAAAGCACCGAATCGACACGACATCTCACAGACCTCTCCGACATAAACCATATCGTGTATCGCCTTCGGAACGCGCAGTGATCAATGAACAGGTTTATACTCAAGCAAAATGTAATTCAAGAATCATGTAGTCCTTGGGCTGCTCCAGTAATTCTAGTGAAGAAGAAGGATGGGACATGGCGATTTTGTGTTGACTACCACCGTCTCAACGCCATCACTAAAAAGACGTATACCCACTCCCGCGGATTGATGATACTATCGACTGTCTATCATCGGCCTCTTATTTTTCGTCTGTGGATCTGAGGTCAGGCTACTGGCAGATTCCAATGCACGAGGAAGACAAGGAGAAAACGGCATTTGTTACAACAGATGGACTATTTGAATTCAATGTGATGCCGTTCGGACTCTGCAACGCGCCCGCAACTTTTGAGCGATTTATGGACAACATTTTGCGTGGATTGAAGTGGGAAGTGTGTATGTGTTTCTTGGACGACGTTGTAATTTTTGGGCGCACCTTTTGTGAGCACAACACACGCCTTGGCCTCGTACTGGACTGTCTAAGCAAAGCACGCTTGGTGCTCAACTCAAAGAAATGTCGTTTTGGAGAGTGCCAAACACTCGTCCTTGGACACTTAGTAAACAAAGAAGGCATACGACCGGATCCCGCCAAGACGGCCGCAGTGGAGGCATTTAAGCAGCCAAGCTCGGTGAAAGAACTGCGCAGCTTTTTGGGGCTTTGTTCATACTTTCGCCGATTCATTCCTGGCTTTGCCAATATCGCATTCCCGCTGACGTGTCTGCTTCAGAAAGGTGCGCAGTTTGACTGGACTCCGGAATGCGAGTCTGCTTTTTCGGAGTTGAAGTTTCTTTTGACGTCCCATCCAATTCTTCGACACTTCAATCCTCTCGCTCCCACTGAGATTCACACAAACGCCAGCGGTATTGATGTAGGTGCTGTCCTGGTTCAAGGCTTGGATAATCAAGAACACGTCGTAGCGTATGCAAGTCGCTCGCTCAGCAAGTCCGAGGGTAACTACACTGTCACAGAGCAAGAATGCCTTGAAGTAGTCTTCGCAGTGCAGCGCTTCCGGTCCTACCTGTACGGACGCCCCTTTACCGTCGTGACAGACCATCATTCTCTCTGCTGGTTGGTCAACCTGCGTGACCCATCTGGTCGGCTGGCGCGCTGAGCACTTCGTCTACAAGAATATGACTTCACGATTTC